TTAATAAACTACTAGCTTCAATAAGCACTATTTCATCTCTGCACGGTTCAGTCATATGTCTCCATATATCTTGCCACCCGCTTGCCATAGGTCGGACAAGTCTCTGTGACTCGAGGGAATGGTAAACACATCTTTTACTTTTTTTTGATTGCCTTCGACTAGATGCTATTGATGATAAGCGATTCCTTAAAAATTAAAATATATTTTGAAAATTAATATCTAAAATAAATGTTATTGAAATTTGATTTAATTACCCATTAGTATTCTGAAGTAAATTGAACATGCATCTTTCTTCATCATAAAATTCATATCTTATAGAAATAAAGTTGTTATTAACTACAACAAGAGGAAACAATGCATTTTGACCAAGTTTGGCCATTTCACCAAATAATTTTTCAGCACTGAAAATAATAATAATCATATTTATGTAGTTTATTTTTATTCAATTTATACCAAGGTACTTAGGTGCTGAGGTAATTATGATAGACAAAATAAAATACTAAAAATTGAATTATTATATATACCTTTACATGTGTAAAAATGGAATTTAGAATACACCTTGAAACGAAAAAATTAAAATTAAGATTTTTGAAATAATTAAACAAATTAAATTTGATCAATGATACCAATTGTCTTAAAATATTGTGTCAAATATTAAATCCTGAGACCAAAAGTATATATGTATTGAACATCTATAAGATGAGTACAGAAAACCCTCATTAATTAAGAATTTCATTAAATCTAGACAACAATTAATAACACAYATATGTGTAGTTTAAACGTCAAACAAACAAGAAAATGAGTTTCAAGAATCTAACATAAATTCAACTTTATTGTGAATATTTATACAAAATAACAATAACATAATATAGTCATTCACATTATTAAATTATTAGTTTATTTATTCAGACAACCTAGGGTCCTAATTAGTTTGGATTATTGACGTTCTGCTGTATATCCAGTTATTACTAAAAAAATAGGATTTATTAGAAATAAACACTTTAAGAGTTAAATTACAAATTTAAGTTTCTTAAAAAAACAAAAATATTGATGMACAATAACCACCTATTTGTTAATAGCTATTAGATGAGTATTATAAATTTAAATAAAATATGTCTTCAAAAAGACATGTCTAAAAATTAGATTGTTCAAGATGTTAGATATTAAAGGCTTTATCTTTTTACTKATAATGGCCATGTTAGGTACCAACAATAAAAATTAATTTAAGTTAGAATATCGTGGAAAAACACTTACCTCCTACGACACCCAACACAGTCGATACTTTCACTCATTATATCTAATATTTCTTTAATGGACACTTTTAATACATCTTGCAGTTCACGCTTGTTTAACATACGATATTTTTTYACAAAACTGTCTAAAGATTGAAGTTTTAATGGTGGWACTTGTTTTACTTCTTGTACTAAATCTTCGTTGCTAAGATCCATCACCAACTATGAAACAAAAGAGTCAATTAAATCAAAATCATATTCTACAGATATAAAACAATGCTAGTGTTAAATGTATCTTAAGTACATGAATCCAGTACATTTGTAATTAATAATAGTAAACTAAAAATAAGAGCTTAATGCATTGATTTGGTTTCCAAAAGTATGAACCATTGTAATAAAAAATTGTATAATAATGACAAAGGAATCATCGAGCAGGTTTGATATGAATGTTAAGGTAGAGTCGGCTTGTAGAGATCAATGGTAGGTATTGGGTGGATCCATGGCGAGTGTTATAAGGAGACACGGGAATTTCCCCCAAAAAAAATCAATCATGGGGGAAGACTCACAGTCAAGTTTTCGTCAACTTGAAGAGGCAACTGCCTGTGCTTAAGACGATGGTCCTTGCCCATTCTCATCACTTCTACCAGGTCRGGCATCCTCTCAGTTTGCAACATTTATGACTGCTGTACGGTCGCGATACMGTCACCGAATACCATTGACCTTATATACCTAATATATATATAAATATGCGAGAGCGTGTGCGTGTGTTGATATTATTATTAATAACACACACGGGCGAACGCGAACGAAATACGGACAACGTAGATCCGAAAACGATGAACGTGTAAACGGARTAAAAGCTTTTTGACCGTTCGTTCTACACTGTCAAAATGTACGAAGCTTATAATATGATACTCGGACGACCACTGTCYTGTAGGAAACGGGCGAAACGCTGGCGAGTACACATCCGCCTTTAAAGCGAGCGCRGTGTACAAGTACGTGCGAGCAATGAGTGGCGGTGGCTAGTGCGCGGTGTGTGATGACGGGAGGGAAATCGCCAATCGGGCGAAACACACGGGGACGATCAACGTAGCCTGGTATACAGCGTCCTTGGAATCTGACGTGCTCGAACCGACGGCACCACGCCGCGGCGTGCGATCCGGCCGTCCACGGTCCCTGTCCGTTAAACGGCGGGGCACAAGTTCTCGAAATTTCGGCGCCGACGTTAATTTTCCTAGCCCCGTTCGGCCTTCCTCAGCTCTGGACATGAGCGAACATTCCACAAAATCCATTCTCCTTGGACACGACCGCCGCAGCCGAAGCTGCGTTATCACCCGCCCAACCCGTATTGTCGGTTATCAGAYGTCGTATTATTGTTGTAGTTGTCGGTGTGTTTTTTCGTCCTCCTAATAATACATTCTTGTTTTCGTCAGAAAATTGCAATAWTATATTGATAACGTTGATAACGTTTCATCCGTAATTTGTGAATTGTGATACCACTGATACCGCGCCAGCGCGGGGCACTTGTTAGTTAGGCGTAGACGCGTTATGAGGAATATAATAATATTAAATATATTAATATATAGTCTCATTGAATCATCCGCTTTAGTTAATTACTCGAGCCTATTAACGTAAAATTAAGTCAATATTTCCTTTAATAGTCATMTAAGACCTACTATCACACTTGAGTCATGGCCGAATTAACCACGCTATAGTATTTTCTACTCGCCCTAAGTACACTGAACACRTCCGAAGTCTATTCTTCATTCTAATAGTAAAAAGCTCATTGCCAAAACACCGCTGCTACAGTGCTATGGCCGTGTTTAAGCCTGGGTCGTCTACCGAACCTACATCTGAAATCGAACTGACACTGTCCTGCAGGTGATTGTTTTGATTAATTTTAGTAAAAAAATAGTATAACATAGGTCGTTAAAAAAAAAAAACTGATTGCTGCATTGCCACTCGTATTAGTTGTAAGAACTTTACTATCATATTGGTCACCCTTTCATTTTAGATTCTGAGTGACGAATGTATTGATTTTACAATG